CTATAAAGTTTCAGCTCTTTAATCTTGCCTTGTAAATCAAACTCTCCAACTCTTTAATATTTTAATTGGTCTTTAAATTTCCTTCAGCGTGATGATAACTTTCTAATAATAAGTTAGCCAGTAGTTTGCCAGGAATGGTTTAGTAATAAGGTGCTGAATGTAATATTACAGGTGCGGTTATGCCAAAGCAGCAGAATAGGGAAAGCATATTAATTGCCCACTCAGTGATACAATACCTCTGCACGTACAATCCTAAGTTCTCACATAAGGTTTTTATTCTCACATTGCACTGTAAACTCGTATGTCATTTACTGTTAACTTTTACCCTTACATCTCACTATTACTGTTTTTCAGGTTTTCAACTTACTGAAAAGTGTAGTGGTGGTAGTTTAGATTATTTCCCTTCCATCCTACACTCCTCACATTTTTCCAAATGAAATCTTATTTTATTATATTAAATTCATATTCCCAGTATCCTTTTGTATTGGATCTCCATCTCAGTAGTTTTCTGAGCTTCTCACAATTTAGTAAACAGCTACGAATATTATTATGTTGGTGTACCTTATCTTGTAAACTGTAAAATTTAACTTGACATGGATACCTTTATATTAGTGCAATAATCATTCATTTTCCTAATTTCAACATATATTACTAAACTAAAACACCCATTTAAAAATGGGATTGGATGATGTTGCATATTTATTCTGTCTCTAATTTCCAGAAGAAATGTTCTTAACTTCCATATTAGAGCATGCTTTTTTCTAATGGCCAGCCCTACAGACTCTGCCTTGGTTATGGAATGACTGCCAAGCTTTTCCTTTAACAGGAATGATCATCAGGAAGTTTTGCATGACAAATTGTGTCCTCACTTTTTCCTGCACAAGCTCTATTTTCTTCAGTGAGGTTGCCCATGTGTGACTAAAGGCATAATTTGGTAACTTATGCACAGATTTTAAAGTTATTTCAGTGTCACCACTTTCTTTTGAAGATTGCATGCAGGCTGGTTAAACCTCTTTCAAGTGGTAGGAATAACAACTGACATTTCTCAAAGAGAGTTGAAAAAATGCAGAAAGCTTCTTCATGTAATCAGAAAAAAAATGAAACAATATCATACAATGAAATGAAAATAATAGTGGCTTCCACAGGTACATGCTAGATATAAGTTGGGGAGAGATTTTGTTTGCTGTTTTCTTGAGAAGATTTGTGTGCCTGAAGAAAAATGGCTAAGCCTTGAGAAGCTGAAAAAGAAGGCAGCAACGTGTCATACACAGATGCCTTGAACTTTGGCTGCTTTGGTCAGTAAAAGAGCTGGTGATAGCTTTAATCCAGACTGAGGACTTTGGCATTTCATTCTCTGGCCACCCTAAGCTTTATTTGGCTTCATTTATGTTCTTAGAAGATGGAAAACCGGGGTCAGAAGTAATAGTTGCATGGCCTCAAGAAAAAGCAGAGAGATGTAGGCTCAGGAGACTTTGAGTTACTTTGATTCCTCCTGTGTTCAAAGCAATAGGACATTGTATAGTCTTTGTAAACAGGTAAGACTCCATCAAACTTATGTTATTCCATCCCCAATTTCTCCTCAACTTAGAAACAACTTGTGGGGGCCTTGAACTATGGCTAACTGCTTGGGTCAAAAAAAGGGCTGGTGATAGTTGTAATCCAGGCTTGAGCACTGCATTCTCTTGCCACACTAAGCTTTGTTTAGGTTAATGTTGGTTTCGTTTATAGGCTCTGAAGATAGAAAATCAGGGTCATTTGCAGGACGACTGTCACCTGGGTACTTTACAATGCCTCATAGTGTACTTTGCAATGCCAGGCTCCTCTACTGAATAAACTGGCTTGTTTGGTAATGAAAGATGAGATAACTGTGATGCTGTATGCTAAGTATGTTCAGCAAAAAGAGCAATAATACCACTGAATAACTAACTATAAACTCATCTGCTGAAAAAGTGTTTTTTTCCCCCTCTAGGGTCACATTGATCCTACAGGATAGAATACAATAGTATATTGTTATTATCACACAAGCAACTGTAAAAGAACCTTTTTTGACCCAACTAATATGTGCCACCTCTGATCCACTAGACTGGGGTAGGCAACCTGTGACATGTGCACTTCAAGTGGCAGGGTGCAGAGGGTAGTAAGTAGACAGCAGGACAACGGATGGGGCAGGGAACATGGGGAAGGCAGCAAAAAGCAGAGCAGCAGATAGGGCAGGAAACAGAAAGCAGAGCAGCAGATGGTGTAGGATGGTGAGCATAAGGCAGTAAGTAGACAGCAGAGCAGTGGATGACTCAGGGAGCCCAGAGAAGGCAGCAAAAAAGAGCAGCAGATGGGGCAGAGCAAGGGGATTAGAGTGGCACTCAGGGAGGGTGCAAGGCTAACACCCCCCACAAAGGCTGCCCCTCTTGTCCTAGGCTTATGCTGAACAGGTCTTGCCTAGGCAAAGATTCCCACCAGCACAGACAGGCCTGCAGCTGCCAAGCAAGGGCTGAAGGCATTTGGCATGCATATTCCCGCATGCCACTGGTCCGTGCTGCACCTCGGGGTGTCCTCCCCATCAGGGCCAGTTTAACTCGAAGTGCATTTCCCTTCTTCCCACCTCCTCCCCCTTCCCCTCCCCCCCGCCTTGCTACTAGGGGTGGCCTCTTCCTGCGTTGCTGCCAGTCAACACTTGCCAGGCTACTCCCAGGTGGCAGAAGGGCACAGCATA